CTGCACTCCAACACACCCAGCGCAAAGTGTTAGGGAGCTCAGCTTAAAGCCAGAGGGGTATAGGTGTCAACAACAAGCAGGACACTGATGTCGTACCCTTGAGAAAAATGCTTTACTGTAACTGGCACATATTAAATTCGATTGAATTCAGCTGCTTTCTCAGTAGACCAGACTGAGGCAGCTCTGCAAAGACAGTCCAAGGAATGTAATGTGTTACTATAGTTACAGTACAATGCTCAGCTGTGTAAATGCATAATAAGAACACAAAGACATGTAAATTGTGACGGCTGCTCTGGATAAGGGCACCTTAAGAAAACAGTGTCATTTCTAGTCAGGGAATGAGAACGGGACATTCAGGTTGACTCAGAGGAAGCAGTCTATCAGCGCAAAAATGAGACAGGCGTTTAAGAAGTCCGACATCTCTCTCAGGGGGGCACATGAAAGTACAAAACAATCATCTGAATCGTCTCTTTAAGTGAGCGTGTGTGTGTATGTGTGTGCGTGTGTGCGTGTGTGTGTGTGTGTGTGTGTGGCGAGGAGAATTCATAAGTCTTAATCAGTAATAAGACCAAATTCTATTAGCATACTGACTGGCCTCTTTGGACTTCACCCCATTGAAGCTGCACTGAGGAACTGGAGCCTTAATTAGGATTTCCAGACCATTCATGCGTGGTCTGCAAACAAGCGCAATATTCAAAGCATAACACATAAATCTGCTTATTATTATTCACCTGACTGACGGATGTCGTCACCCAGGGTGAGTTAATCCTAAGTTTTACATATCATTCACCTGCCCTGCTGGATACTCACTGAAGCAAATCAGGCTATGCTCAAGGGTACAGTGGTAGTACCCCACCTGGGGATTGAACCTGCAACCTCCTGTCTGTAGGTCTTGGTTCCAGACCGCTATGCAACACTGTTGTTATGTTGCCTCATCACTGTGTTTAAGTGCAGAGTCAAATCCACCCAGGGAGTCATGCTGTCAGATGGATGGTGTGAGTAACTGAAGGCGTGGCTGCTGCTCTACTTGATCAATGGGTGCTATCTGCAATGTTTGACACAGGCGGCCATTTCGGCTCTGCTGTTCTTTACCGTCCGGCACAGGAGTGTGATGTTGGAAGTGAACATTGAGATAAAGCAGAGACATTAGACCTGCCTTCAATCTATGTGTACAGTGTGGTTTCAGAGCTCAAAGAGTTCGCACTATGTGTACTTTTACCTGAATAGGACTGAGAAATAGCTAAGCAGAGAACATAAAAACATACTGTGGTGTGGTACAGTGGTCAAGGAACTACATTTAAAACAAGTAGGTTACTAGTTTGATTCCCTGTTGGGGTCAATGTACTGGAGAAAGTTACTTAGCCTGAATATCTTTGGCAAATGTCCAGCTGTATAAATGAATAATATGTCACATGTGCGACTCTCTGGACAAGGGCAAGTACAAAGCAAACTATTAATAATTCTAATGAATTATTGATATACACAGGGAGAGGCTAGATACCAGCAGAGCTCTGTTAGAAAGACCTGCCAATGTCTTCTATCTGTCTCTGAGACCTGCAAACACTGTCAGTTTGGTCTCAGACACACACACACATACACACATTTGCGCGCACACACACACACACACACACACACACACACACACACACACACACTGAAACACACAAACATACTGACACAGACAGAGACACACACATACACGCACACAGTGACACACAGTCACACACATGCACACGCTCGCAGGCACACACGCATACACAGTTACACACACATATACACACACACACACGCACGCAGACCAGAGACGTCGGCCGAGAGGCTGCTGAGGAGAGCCATTTGTCACCGCGTGCACTCAGACGAGGGCAATGTCACGACTGATGGCAATCTCACAGTGGGGTGTGCACAATGAGCCGGCGGATTAAATGGACTGTTCTGTCTCTGGGTGTGTCGTTTTGGGTGCAGCCATTTTCAACAGTGTAAAGAGCAGAAACAGGAAAAAAAAAAAAACCTTATCCAGCTCACAAAGTCACGGAGTGGAGCATTAGGGGATCCGGAAAAAAAAGCACAAACTTTGAAGAGGCACTAATCCCCGGGTGACGCTTTAAAAATGTATTTCACAACTGTATGGATCCGCAGGAAGGATTAAAGACTCAGTTATTGTTCTGTTCACCAGCTTGCGAAGGTTTTCGGCTTTGCGCTCCCTCATATAAAAAAAAGATGAAAATCTATACGCCAGCTTACCCTTCCATCGTTCTGATTTGAAAATCCACCGTAAACCACTTCCAGACTATATACTTGCAAACCTTTCTTAAATCGCTTCCTCCAGTGGAGTCTGCAGAAAGCCCTCATTTCCAGATACAGATCAAGCAAATAATGTTTCAGGGCATTGCACAACAGAATGCCCTAGATAACACACGGTCAGCCTCATGTATATTTAAGCATACAAATACACCTACGGGGCACACTCAACATGATCTGTGTTTATGGCAGACGGTTTTTATGATGGGTCACAAGAAGCGAATGGCATTCACTTGGCTTCGGTGAACATTCATACTGGTTAATAAGGGCTGGCCAACGACTGTCAGAGCAAGTTACACGGTGTGGCCCAGGAGCATCAAATAAGTCATTTTTGAACATGTCTGAACTTTCCTCATTTCCCCATCACTCCCTGCTCTGCAGTTAGTATCCCTAGGTCAGACTAACGCCAAACAACAACAAAAAACAAGATGACAACGTGTTGTGCCCTGGCCTTGTTCCGGCTTCCCAGCCACTTGACTAATGCCGAACGAATCGGCAGCCAGCACGGTGGGATCTGGATTTTGAACACTGGCGACAGAGCTGCATTAACGTTCTGTCATGCGGCAGACGGGCTCTCATTCGGAAGCGCAGACGAGAGCCGCGTTTCGGCCCGGCGCACGAGCACACACCCAGCGCTGCCGTCTGCACGGAAGCCTGCAGCTTTAGGAATTCATTTTCCCGGCGCGTAATCTGCCTGCCGCTGGGTGACCCCTGAACGGCCCGCTTTATAAAGGGGAGAAGCAGCTTGTCCGCTGGGGGAGAAGGCCACGTCAATATCCTCCTCCTACCTATCACATCCGCCCTTCAGCGGCTTTCTATTTCCACGATGCTAATGCTCTTAAAGACGATGCCGCCACCTGCTCGGGACAGACGATTTCCTCAAATGAAGACCCTTTCGGGGAAACCCGAGGAGGAAGCGTGTGACGGTGCGTGTCTGCGGGGGGCAGGACTGGGTTTGTGTGTGTGCGTCAGTGTGTTCATATTTGTGATTATGCCTGTGTGTGCGCGGGGGGTGCAGGGAAGCTGATGTGCACATGTGCGCTAGAGAGTGTTTGTATGTGTGTGTGGAGATGTAGTTATGTCACTGTTCATCAGCTGCACAGGCCCTTACGAAAGCTGCCATTCAGCTTTGCCTTCTTGACTCGTCCTTGGCTCCACCCCCCCCGCTGGTTTCCATTCATTCATTGGCCACTGTTTGAAAAGAACCTGACAAACGGCTCACAGCTGTCAATCAACTGCAATTCCATACGTGCTATTAAATATTCCATCAGTACTCAAACAGCTATGTAGACGTGAATGGAAGGAGATTTCAACAAGGGGAAATGGAGGCAGAAAAATATTAAACACACTCGTTTGAAATAACAGCAAGAGATCCCACAGGTATACAGTCTTTTACAAGCTAACTCTGCATCTAGGCTCAAGGACGTTTCAAAGTTATTCCCTGGGGCTAGACAGAAAAAAAAGACAGAAATATTTCTCTTCAACAAAGATATCCCACACATCCCAACTCTCTTCCTCAGTTAGCACTCTGAGAGTGACATCACTTAGCATTTCTTCTTCAGCTTTACTTTAGCGGGCGCTCTTTTCCAGGGCGGATCTCTGGCTTACAGCCTCACGTCGTGACCCATTTAGACAGCAGCTGAGGTGAAGCGCTCTACTGGAGGGCAGAACAGCAACGCTCCGCTTGGGATTCAGCTCCACAACCCTCAGGGTCAGAGTTCAGAGGGTCAGAGGTCAGAGCCCTGACCACAGCTTCGCCCCGGCGCCCTCAGAGAGTCCTCCTCCCGCTCTCAGCTTTGACCTTTCCTCCAATGTGAATCGACTAGTCCTTCCCCAACACAAACCCATCTAGACAGGTCAAGCAGCTCAAAACAGGGGTCACCTCTCTCCCTCTCTCTCCCTCTTTCTCTATCTCTCTCTCCCTCTCTCCCTATGCTATGTTGCTATTTTTGGCTGGGTTCATGTTGGGTTATATTTTTAGGAGGGTTTGGTTTGGTTATGGTTGTTTCCATATTGGATGGTTTTTCTTTCTTGCATATATGTCAACGTACTTTTCCCAAGCTCTTTGTTGACAAAGCATTGAAATAAAGACCTTTTGAAAGTAAACAAAAAAGCCTCTCCCTCTCTTGCTCCCCGTCTCCCGGGACACAGCCTCCAGCTCCGGGACAGGGCAGGCGCTCCGGCACGTCACCGCGGGCGACGGCACGGCTAAAACACTGTGATACACCTCAGAGGGACGGCAATTTCACTCTCCGTCACGGCACACCGAGCACGGCTGCTAAGCAGCGCGGAAACGGAGCGACTGCACCCTGGACTGAGCCGGCTGCCGTCTCTCACACTCACACACACACGCACGCACACACACACACACGCACACACACACGCTCGGGGAGCGGGGCAAAGGCCCCGTCAATGAGGAGGGCATGAGGAACTCTGGGATGGACAGGATACAAGGTGAGGGAGAAGGGTGTACTCTGTGGGGAAACGGTGTAAATTACACAGACTCTGCCCCATTCGTTCCACACGTACAAGGGCAGGAGAGGGTATAGCACACACTCATTCATTACATTACATTACTGTCATTTAGCAGACACTCTTATTCAGAGTGACTTCCATAGGTTACAGTTTTTACATGTTATCCATTTACGCGGCTAGACATCTACGGAATGTGTGAGTTAAGTACCTTGCCCAAGGGTACAATTCCCCAGCGGGGAATCGAACCGGCAACCTTTCGGTTACGAGCCCTACTCTTTACCATTACGCCACGCTGCGGCCCCAATTCCACACATGCAGGGGCAGGACAGGGTATAGCACACACACACTCTGCTCTGCTCATTCCACATGTGCAGGGGCATTACGCCACATTAATGTCATTTAGCAGATGCTCTTATCCAGTACGATTTACACAGCTTACAATTTTTACATGTTATCCATTTAAACAGCTGGATATTTTACTGAGGCAATTATGCATTAAGCACCTTGCCAAAGGGTACAACAGCAGTGCCCCAACGGGGAATCGAAACAGCAACCTTTTGGTTACAAGCCCTGCTCCTTGCCCACTTGCTACACTGCCACCCCAGGATAGGGTACAGCACATGCTCTCTCCTCCATTTATTCTACATGTGAGGCAGCAAAGGGCATAGTGTACGGCACAGATGCTGTCCTCCACTCATTCCCCATGTGCAGAGGCAGGGCAGGGTGTAGCAGGCACCCTCTTCACCGTGGCCTCCGTGCATTGATACAGGCAGCTCCGTCAGTGCTCACAATCACCAGGCTGTGTGAGATGATGATTTCATTAGTGACAGATGGCGCAGGCTCACTCTGGAGGGTCTCTGGCAGAATGGGACAGCCTGCAGATGTGCATGAATTCTGGGTAATTTACTTCTCAATAAGTGTGCATGCTGGGGGGGTGGGGGACAGTCACATCATTTGGTTTCTTCTCTTTCTTCCTTTCTCTCTCTGTCCCCCCATCTGTCTATTTCTCTCCTTTACTCACACTGTCTCTCCCCATCACCCTTCCTTTCCCCCCTGCTCCTTCCCTTCCTCTCTCTCCCAGCCTCCGAACTTCCCTTTCTCTCTCTCTCTCCCTCTGTTCCCCTCTCTCTCATCTTCACTCTCCCTCACTCTCTCCTGGCTACCTTTTTTCCCTCCTCCTCCCTCCCTCTCTCTTCTTCTCTTCTCTCCCTCTCCTCCCCCTCTCTCACACCCACACTCCCTCTGCTAACATTCTCTCTCTCCTCCTCTCTGGCAGGGAGAGGCACAGCAGAAAGGAGCCGTGTATTTGCAGTCCGCTCAGCTAGGACGCCGCTGAATGCTGTTCCTCCGCTGTTTCTCAGGGGCTCAGTTCATTCTCCACACAATCAATCTGAATCCTACCCCCCCTCCGGTCGGGCTCCCGGAGGCTGGCGGGTGGTGGCGGCAGGGAGTGGGTTCTAATGAAAGCTTCTTAAACGAAGCAGACTCTCACACCGCTGACGACACTTTTTCCCTGTGTGCCAGGCTGGGATTCCTATCGATGGCTCTCTCTCCCTCTCTGCCTCTCTCCCTGCCCCCTCTTTCTTATCCTCAACCTTGACATGTTTTTTAAAGCCACAAAAAAGCTGAAAAATATGAACAGGTATCAAAAATTTTGGAAGACTTCCAAAAAAAAAAAAAAAAAATCTCATATACACAAACACACACACACACATACACACACAACAGCTTGTCCCTTCCACTCCCTGTGGCAGTATGTTTAGTAATTGTCCATTACAGTAAATCAGCAGCCTCTGGTCTTATCTTTATTAGAGGAACTCACTGCGGAGCCATGGAGACGCAGTAACCGAAGCCTCAGGACAGTGCCAGCTTCCCACAAAGCCGTGGCTAACTTCCCCGCTCCCTCCTCGCGCGACACACACCGCTCCCCGATCAATTTCCACATTATTAACTATTCTAATTGAAATGCCAGTTTGAGTTAACGAAGGCCTAAAATGAGGCTGTGATTAGAGCCGGTTTTACAGCCCAGTAAAGAAGCACCGCTGGCGTTGCTAAAACCGAAAGCGGCGGCCGAGAGATAAGGGGGCTCTGCGAATTAGCCGTCATAAACGTCCGGCGGAGTCGATGCGGTGGGCGTGAGGAGATGCATTTCACAGGATCAATCCGGCAGGAGTGTTAGCGCTGAACACGGCAATTAGCTCTGTTTTCTGGGCCATTCGGAGGCCCACCTTTTATGATTTCATCCTCTAAGTGACCCAGACTCTGAGTCAATACAACAGCGCAGCGTTCGATAAGCACTCAGGGTGCCGGCGGTGGCTGAAATCGGCTGCTGTCCCTGACGGAAGGGGGGACGGGGGGGTGACTGCGGCCGCGCAGACGAAGGAACAACGGGACAACTGCAGTGTTGTGTGGCCCCTGTCACTCAGGCATCACACACTCACTCATCACCTGTCTTTCTTCACCATTTCAAACACCACCTGTCCTTATTCACCCATCCCTATCAACAGTTCTTATTCATCCATTCATAAATCAACTGTCTTTATTCACTCACATATCACCTGTCCATGTTCATCCCTTCATACATCCCCTGTCTTTATTCACCATTTCACACACAAGCCTGTTGTTATTCATCATTTCAAATATCACCTGTCCTTGTTCACCCATTAACTTCACCAGTTCTTATTCATCCATTCACTCATTGCCTGTCTTTATTCACTCACTCATGCACCTGACCATGTTCATCCCTTCATACATTCCCTGTCCGTACTCACCATTTCACATATAAGCCTCCCATTCATGGCTCTAGTTCTTATTAATCTATTCCCACATCACTTGTCCATGTTCATTCCTTCACACACCATCTTTCTTTATTCACCATTTCATACATCACTTGCCCTCTGTAGTATCGCTCTCATAGTCCCTCAGTCCCTCACATGAAAGGCCTCTTGGTATAGGACCTCAGGATTAACACAGTAATGATAATCATCTTCGAAAGGATCATGGGTGTGTCCCTTGAGCCCCCACAGGGCTGTGGGACAGCAGTGATCAACTTTACCCATAATCTTCTTAAATACACTCAAATAAGTACCATCTGCGTTATAATTCAGATTCAACCTCTGCTTAGAGCTGTCAAAACTGCAATTTGTTTTCCAGCAGAAAATCAAACAGCCTTGATGGAACCAGAGGAGCACATAAATCAAGTGTAAGGCTCTTAGGGAGAGCACTGCCTGCGCTTATTCTGAGGGGCAGACAATAGCAAGCTGAGGGAAAGGGCTGTGGGGTCCTCTGTTTTTGGGGTGAGCACTGATTGCTGAGGACAAGGGTGTCGGGGACAGTGTGACTGATGGGGGTGTGTGCGGAACAGGTTAGGACAGGCCAGAGCAAAGTGACTTCACCAAATCAATACGAACCAATATGACACATTCATCACCACGGACTCATCGGCCCGGCTGCTGACTGCGGGAGGGCTCCACACTCTCTCTGACTAAGGCAAGCCTACAGCACCACCCCCGAAGCACAGACACATGCACACACGCACAGGTGTCCCTGTGTGTGGCTGTGTGCACATGAATGTGTGTGGGAGGACATGCATGTGTGCAGTCTGTGTGTGCATGTATGTGTGCACGTGGGTGTGCGTGCGTGTGTGTGTATGTATGATGTTTTCGTGTGTGTGTGTGAGAAGTTTCTGTGTTGTCATGTCTGTGTGTGTATGTGCGTGCATGTGTGTGGTTGTGTGTGTGTGTGTGTGTGTATGTGAAAAGTTTGTGTGTTTTGTGTGTGTGTGTGTGTGTGTGTGTGTTGTGTATGTGTAGGTCTGTGTGCGTGCGTGTGTATGTGTGTGTGCGGCGTGCGTGCGTGTATGTGTGTGTGTGTGTGCGTGCGTGCGTGCGTGTGTATGTGTGTGTGTGTCCGCGTGCATGCGCGTGTGCGTAATGTTTGTGTTTTGTGTGTGTGGTTGTGTATGTGTAGGTCTGTGTGCGTGCGTGTGTGTGTGTGTGCGGCGTGCGTGCGTGTATGTGTGTGTGTGCGTGCGTGCGTGCGTGCGTGCGTATGTGTGTGTGTGTTCGCGTGCATGCGCGTGTGCGTGCGTGTGTGCGTAATGTTTGTGTTTTGTGTGTGTGGTTGTGTATGTGTGTGTGCGGCGTGCGTGCATGTGTGTGTGTGTGTGTGTGCGTGCGTGCGTGCGTATGTGTGTGTGTGTTCGCGTGCATGCGCGTGTGCGTGCGTGTGTGCGTAATGTTTGTGTTTTGTGTGTGTGGTTGTGTATGTGTGTGTGCGGCGTGCGTGCGTGTATGTGTGTGTGTGTGCGTGCGTGCGTGCGTGCGTATGTGTGTGTGTGTTCGCGTGCATGCGCGTGTGCGTGCGTGTGTGCGTAATGTTTGTGTTTTGTGTGTGTGGTTGTGTATGTGTAGGTCTGTGTGTGTGCGTGCGCGTGTGCATGTGTGTGTGTGCAGCAGCACTGCTCACCAGCACACGCATATTCACAGCCAGCACAGGCGCCCCCTCTCCTCCACTCACCTGACAGTTTATCTGCTCATCTGCGCGGCGGCGCGGCCCCACGGTTAGCGATAACCGCTTTAGTGCAATACGACAAGCGCAATAAAAAGCCCACTGGGTCACATCAATGCCTCTGCCCAAGGCGAAAGCACAAGATAAAGCGGCCCTAATAAAATACTGATCAATGGAAACGACTCATTTGTGTGGTGAGCACGGTTTTTGGCGGAGGCTGTCAGGCCGATAGGCTCCCAGCTCTGATTAGCAGAAACAAAACACGCTGCGGCGTCGGGGGGGAGACGGCGCTCTGAGCTCCGCTTTTAATTAAAAAGCCGCGAGCCAGGATTACAGGGCCTTACAGTCGCCGCTGCCCTTTGTGGAAATGCCAGCGTCCCCGACGCGACAGACAGGAGGCCCTGCGGCCGCCAACCTCACAGCTGCCTTCGCTTTCCTTCACTGGGTGGCTAAGGAGCTGGGCTTGTAACCAGAAGGGGGTGGGTTCGATTCCCAGGCAAGGCCCTCTTTGTGCACTTGAGCAAGGCACTTCACCTTAACATTGCTACAGTGAAATATCCAGCTGAGCAAACAGGCAGCAAATGAAGCTGTTAGCTCTACATGCTACACTGGCTAAGGGAATCTGCTAAGCAATGTAAGTATGTAGGCCTGTCTTTAGTCGCCTGTGTTAGTGCTGACACACACTGACAGGAGATAGGAGCAGGACTCGTAAGCGAAAGGTTGCAGGTTCGATTCCCAACCGGGGCACTGCTGCTTTACTGTTGGGCAAAGTACTTAACCCAGAATTG